GCCTCGAGGAGGCGCTCCTTGTCGCGGGCCCAGCTCTCGGCCTCTTCCAGCTCCTGCAGCAGCGCCCACAGGCTCCGCGAGGCCTCCAGCTCCGCGCGCCGCTGCGCCGCCTGCTCCTGCAGCTCCGCCAGACAGCCGTGCACGTGGTTCACGCGGTTGCAGATGACCTGCGGGTCGCAGGGCTGGTAGCCTGGGCCAGGAGAAGGGGAGGATCCCGGGTTGGGCACGGACCAGGGCGCGCCCGAGAGCGAGGTGCAGGCTACCCGCCCGGTCCATGGTGCCAGGCTGCGCGTCCCCTCCTCCGGGCAGCCTTCCCTGATACGCTGTCTGGAGCAGGCAGCTTTCTCTGGCTCCCCCAGGCTTCTCTGCTTCCCCCATCCCAGCCCTGAGCCCTCAGCCTGTGCACCGCTCCCCCCATCCCGGCGCTAACCCCACTGGACTGGGAGCCCCACGAGGGCTGGGCCTGGGGCTGTCTCCGTCACACTGGGTCCCCACCATTGCCCAGCAGTGGGTGGAGCCCAGAGCAGTAGCTAATGAAAATGGTGACTTATTACTGATTGAATGTTGGGTAGAAACTGAGATTCAGAGAATCCTAGACTCTCTATGTTTTAGGGTAAATTGTGTTTCCTTCAGGACTGGACCAAATGAAACATCTCTATTCTTTTTTTTTTTTTTATCTCTATTCTTTTTATTTTTATTTTATTTTAAGTAATCTCTACACCCAACGTGGGGCTCGAACTTAGAGTTCGCAACTCTTGATCTCGAACCCAGAGATCAAGAGTTGCGAACTCTATCGCTGAGCCAGCTAGGCAGTGGGAAATGTCTCTATTCTTAAGCAATTTTCTGGGTTCCCCCTCTCGTCCTCTGTTACCTTATCTCTTAACTCCAGGGATGACCTGAACTCCCTTTTTTCTTCAAATAGTTCATTTGCCTTCCTCCTAGACTTCTGGTTTGTGACGAGAGAATTGTGAAATTAACTTAATGGCTCAGCATTTCTTTAATGGAATAGAATAGAACGAATAGAAAATATCAGGATGCAACACACCGGGCAAGAGGAGGCATTGTTTCATAAAACCTTTGTGCCTGTGTGTGCATGCGTGCGTGTGAACTCTGGGTCAGGAGGTAAACGTATTTCTTACTGGGTCAAAACCCTGTGAGAGACGCTGCCCTAGATGGAATGCGCCATTTCTGGAATTCTGGACATTCGCTGAAACTGACCCAAATACCACGGCATCCAACTGAATAATCAACAGCAACAGGCATCCGTGTATCCAGACCTGACTCTGGCACAGTGTCGCTTCATCCTCACAACCACCCTGTGGGGCAGTATCGTTATTAGCCCCATCTTACAGATGAAGAAACTGAGGTTCGGGGAAGGAAGCTACTTGCCCAGGATCAGCTAAGAAGTGGCAGACCGGGAGGCCCAACCTTCGGACCCCGTATCAGGCAGCACGGCCTCCCATCACCATGACAACACAGACCCCACACCAGCCTCTTTGCCGTTTGTGTGGTGCCTGCTGGCTGCCACCTGGAGCCAAGATCTCACAAAGAGAAGACAGAGGGAGGCTCCTGGGGCAAACATCCATAAGGGGAAGGAGAGGGTCCCAACAGCGTCTCCTGGGGTAGGGATGTGGGCGAGGGGCTGAACCAGGGTGGCCATGTCCCGATGGGGCTTGGAAGAAGACTTCCCCATTGGACTCAGCCCATGAGGGTGAGAACCGCCCCTCTGCACCAGCCTGCAAGCCAGACAGGCCCTGCCTTTTCTACCGATGTTTCAAGATTCCCAAGGGCTGAGGTTCCAGACACCGGAGTGAGAAAGGCCAGCCTGGAACCCTCTTAGCTCTACAGCTCTGGGCCTTCCTTTCCTTTCCTTTCTTTTTTTTTTTTTTAAAGATTTTATTTATTTATTCATAAGAGGCAGAGAGCATAAGAGGCAGAGGGAGAAGCAGGCTCCCCGCTGAGCAGGGAGCCCGATGTGGGACTCGATCCCAGGACCCTGGGATCATGACCTGAGCCGAAGGCAGACGCTTAACCATCTGAGCCACCCAGGTGCCCGTTAATAATTTATTTTTAATTTTTTTTTAGTAGGCTCCATGCCCAATGTGGGGCTTGAACTCACGACCCTGAGATTTAGAGTTGCATTCTCTACCCACTGAGCCAGCCAGGGGCCCCCTTTCCTTTTCTTTTGCAAGAAAGCAAAAAGCAGCCTTGGCAGCATCGGCGACTAGCATACAGTTTCTCAGGACACCAGCTTCAGACAAGGCCACTCTGCGACCACGAGGGAGTGGGATGGAAACAAGGCCCTTCCATGATCATGTCAGAGTGCACACAGAATAGAGGTCACTGTGCAAGCCACAGAAACTGCCAGCCATCCCCCTCACCCAGCTCAGGTGAATGACCACTACCACTTCCTGTTTCTCCCACGGCCTGGATACAAACGATTAAGATGAGCAACCACCTAGTTACTCCCGCCTCCTGACAGTGTGCAACCCGCAGCAACACACACTGCACAAATCATGCCCAAATCCCCTAACGCCAGCCCACATCCTATAACAAGCCCATCCTGACACCCTCCTACTGAGAGGCCCCAGGGTTTCCCAGGGTGTGTGCAACGAGCTGACAAACCCAACTGGGTTTGACCACAGGGGGATTCCTCCTGGTCTGTGACTGGAGGGTATCGGCATCAATACAATGAGAACCTTATCAGAGCCAGTCTTGGTCTTGCCTATCAGCATCCATGCCCCTGCTGCTGGTAATGGCTTCCCACCCTCCTCTTCCTTGGTTCATGTCTTTGGAAAGAGCTTGACCCTACGCTTGGCCCCGGGGTGGCCATGTCACATAGATGTGGCCAGTTAGCTCACTGGAGAGCCAGGGGTTACAATGCTTGGCTGAGCAGAGGGGAGGGAACCCACAGTGGGCTAATGAAAGCTTTCCTTGAACTTTTTGTCAGAAATATTGGAGGAGAGGGACTTGTCTCCTGCTGGGTCTAAGTTGCTAGGATGTAAACACAGGGCTGAATGACCCCAGATTTATACCACAACTGGAGGGACGGCCCAACAGTGACACAAACACAGAGACTACAGTCAGAGAAACGGAGTCTTAAAAGCATCATGGGACAATCCCTGGATCCAGCCATACCTGAAGCCGAACTTGCCCCTCTCTGGACATTTTAGTGACTCCCCTTTTCTCCTTAAGCTAACTGATACTTCTTTCATTTGCTGCCGAACAGGCCCTGACTATATATTACCTTACACAGTCTTTTTATGGTATTCATTGACATTTGGCTGTGAAGGGCTTAGCATAAGACAAGTGCTCGATAGGGGCACCTGGGTGGCTCAGTCACTAAGCCCCTGCCTTCTGCTCAGGTCATGATCCCAGGGTTCTGGGATTGAGCCCTGCATCAGGCTCCCTGCTCCACGGGGAGCCTGCTTCTCCCTCTCCCACTCCCCCTGCTTGTGTTCCCTCTCTTCGCTGTGTCTATCTCTGTCAAATAAATAAATAAAAATCTTAAAAGTATATATATAAGTGCTCGATAAAAATGACTGCAGAATCTCAAAGCAGGAAGAAGTCATGTGGTCTAACCTCCACTCCAAGCAATAATTTCCCCCATGATATCCCCAATGGAGTGTGATCCTATTTTGTGCTTGGATCCCTCCAAAGACAGGGAGCTCACTGCTTCCTACTGTCTCTTAGGAGTTTCTACGAGCACCAGCCCTGACAGTCTCCACCCAACCCCCAAGCCCAAACTCACCCTGCAGCTGAGAAAAACGCAGGGCAGCAGCGTTGAGAGCCTCCACCCGCTCACTCTGGGCCGCAATGTCCCCCTCCAGCAGTCCATGCTTCTGCAACAGGTCCTCGGCCTCCACCAGGTGCTGCCCGCACTCGCGGGACAGCAGCTGAGCCTACCAGGGGGGGCAGCACTGAGCACATGCTTGGCATTGGCCCTCAGGCCAGCCCCACCCCGCACTGTCCTGGATTACTCTTCTGCTCCTCCAAACCATCTCTTGAACTCTGATCTCTGTCTCAATCTCCTTGTCCCTGTCAACATCTCTCTCTCTCTCCATCCCTCTCCAGCTCCCTGACAACACTTTCAGTGTCGACAGCCCTCCCTTGCTGTCCCGGCCCACCATGCCCACCCTCCGCCCTGGGGCCGGCCCCACCTGCATCTCCTCCATCCAGTCCACCATGTACACCATCTCCTGGAAGACCTTCTGCAGGGCCAGGTTCTGCTCGAGCCGCGTCCGCCGGGCCCCCACCAGCCCGGTCAGCAGGGCCCACTGGCGCAGGACGCTGTCACGCTGGGCGGCCACGCGCCGGGCATCATGGTAACCTTCGGCGGCCAGTGCCTGGGCCAGCTCAGCCACGCCCTGCACCCGCTCCTCGTAGGCCGCAATGTCAGCCTCGATGGCCTCGTGCTTCTTCATGGCGGCCTCCACTGCCGGCAGCTCATACCCGAAGTTGTCCTGGGGCAGGGCAGGCCAGGCCAGGCCACAGACGCTCACCCATGTTGCCCCAGCCGTCCATCTGTTACCCTGCCCTTGCCCCCACCATCCCCAGTTACCCTGGAGACCAGCCCCATCTTCCTCTGTTACCCTGGAGACCAGCCCCACACTTCTCCATCACATCTGTAGCCTGAAACTCGTCACTCAGGAAACAGTCCCCATCCTACCATTGCCCTAGAGACTGGGGACCAGGCCTACCCTGCCCTGTTACTTAGGAGACTGATTCTATCCTCCCGAGTTACCCTGGACACCAGATACAACCTCCTCTGTCACTTAGAGTCTAATTAAATACTCTCCCTATTTCTGAAGAGACTAATTCCGTCCTCTCTAGTTACCCTGGAGACCAACCTCACTCTCCTGTTACCTTGGAGATCAGGCCCATTCCCCTCCCCCACCGCTCACTTAGGAGACCAGTTCTCCCTTCCCACCGTCATTTGCCACCTGGGAGACTAATCTGACACTTTTCTGTCGCTTAGGAGATAGAGTTTCCCTCTCTGGTCCCAGGGCCAGCAGCCCCGCCCTCCCTCCATCTCCCCCAGAGCCAAGCCCTGCACGCGGTACCTGGGAGACCAGGCGCTGGTTCTCATTCAGCCAGCTCTCCCTCATGGCCACCTTGTGGTCAAACCTCTGGGCCAGTAGTTCCAGCTTCTCTTGCCGGATCAGCTCAGCCCGCAGAGCAGCCTCCCGTTCGTGCTCTGCCTTTTCCAGCTGGCCCCAGGCCTAGGGAGACAGGAGGCAGCTGTCAGACCCCAACAACGTCCCACATTTTAATGGCCCTGGCTTCTCTGTCTGAGGTGACTCCTAGCATTTACAGCACCTTTGTGTAAACTGGAAAAAAAAGAAAATTGCTCCTTCATGGCACTTCCCTGATGGAAAACCGTCAGGATGAATATCCAGTCCATGATGTCTACAATGTAGATGGCTCCCTTGAGCAGTGCACAACCTACACACCCGCACAGAGTAACCTTGCCTCTCCCCAACATTCTCAACCTCACCTTGTCGATATCCCAGATGCCACAGCCCTCCCGAGGCACAAAGAGGCGACGATTACAGGCACGCAGTTTGCTCTGGATGCTGAAGAGCAGCACCTCCAGGTTCCCCTTCTCCTGAAACCTGAAGGGGCTGGAGCTCAGGAACCCTGCCTCCACACCTCCACTTGCCGCCCTCCCTCCTGAGCTGGGCCTCACTTGACTGGCTTCTCCAGGGTGCAATAGGCCGTGAAAGCCTGAAGCTGCTGCTGCACCCCACTCAGTGAGTTGGCAAACTTCTGGTTGCTGATGAGGCCCACGGTGCGGTGGATCCAGGCCAGCAGCTCGGCTGCCAGCTCCTCGTAGCGCTCAATGATCTTCCCCACCTCCAACACCTGGTCCAGGACCTGAGCCGGCAAAGGAAGCTGGGGTCAGCCTTGTCCCAGATGTACCTCCAGGTGGTTCCCAAGCTCCCCCCACCCCATCCCTCGCCTCCCCAAACCTTCCCGATCCTCTTCCCCTCCACAGCCAGAGCCTTCATCTTGGAGAAATAGTGGTAGAAAGAGACCACATAGGTGATGATGGACTTCTCATCTGGAGCCTCCATGTTCACATCTGGGGAGAAAGGAGAGTGGGGGAGCATGACGGTGAGCATTCTGACAGGGATTGGGCAGAGGGAGAGAGAACCCACTCGTACTAGCTGTGTGACCTCAGGCAAGATAACTAACCTCTCTGTTCCTTAATTTTTGTATCTGCCAAATGGGGATTGGCCTCATGGGACTAAATAGTACCTGACAGGGGCGCCTGGGTGGCTCAGTCGTTAAGCGTCTGCCTTCTGCTCAGGTCATGATCCCAGGGTCCTGGGATCGAGCCCCGCATCAGGCTCCCTGCTC